ACTTACAGAATTTGAGAAGGGTGAACATTATGCTAGGTTGATTTGTGTCTTTTAAGCAAAGCTCCAAATGGCTATAAGTCCCAAGCTTTAGTTTCATCTAAAAATGCTTTTAACAATTGATGAATAAATTTAATAGTGGACTTATGTTGAAAACTTAATGGAAGTTATGAGAAGGGTTTGAAAGGGTATGATTTGTGCATGCATGTATGTATGTGTTTTATGTAGAGATGTATGTGTTCTATGTAAATATGTATGTGTTTTAACATGAATTGGAGTTAATTTTGAGAAGAAATGTTTTAACATGACAACACACTTTTATAATAGTACTAGTATAGTGCACATGCGTTGCACGTGGACATATTTGTTATATGTTTTAAGTTTTTTTGTCTAATAAGTTAATAACATTGATTATAAGGTTTAATAGACAAAAAAGCAAAAATTTACAAAAAAGGTAAAAAATTCTATGTTTATTATGTTTGATTATGTAAGAAAATAATTAAAATTAATTATGTAAGAAATGTTAAAAAACTGGACATATTTGTTTTATGTTCAATGTTTTTTAGGTAATAAGTTTAAAACATTGAGTGCAAGATTTAATAAATAAATTAAAAACTAAAAAAGTAAATCATTCTATTTCTAATGAAGGAGAATGTAAGAATATGAAAAGATAGAATTAAATCTAGAAAAAGGCAATTATTAAATCATATAATCAATGCTATTTATAATGTTAATATTGTAAACAGAACATATAAAATTAATTAAAATTAAATCCAACAACAATTTCTAACTTATTAACCTATTAATTTCTCACACTACCTCATAACTACAATGACATTGCTTATAGCGAGTAATAATTGTTTTATGCTCTGAGATCTATTTGAACCATTTCATGCTTTCTAACTCTTCATTTAGAAAAGTTTTGTTGTACAATTCTGTAGTATTTATCATCAATATTAGTGGGTGCATTGTAATAATTAGTAAAGGGTTAGTGGAGAAGTTTATTTTATCTCTTAGAGAGTTATTCTTTTGGTATTGGAGAAGTTTATTTTATCTCTTAGAGAGTTATTCTTTTGGTACAAAGTTATATTTAACTGAATATCATTAAAATTGCATATAAACCAAACAAATAAAATGAAAATTGAGATAAGTAACTTAATTTGGTTATTTGCATTTATACACCTTAAATCA